TAAGACTTAGGATGGGAAGGTAAAGGCGATGGAAGGAGTTCTCCGCCTTCCAATGCGGGGTCGTGTGGCGCAGCCGGTAGCGCGTTCGGCTGACAACCAAGAGGTCGCGGGTTCGAATCCTACCCTTGTCACCGATCCTGTGCCCTTGGGAAAGGAACTTAACACGAGTTTTCTCACTTCACTCAGGTGGAAATGAGTACCTAGCTTCGGTTAGGGACGTCCCTCGGATAGGACGTTAAATGGAGGTCCCATGTTTGGGGAGACCCACACCCCACGCATGTTTAAGGACCCACCACACTTATAGAAAAAGAGTAGGGGTCCTTCCCGGTATGAGTGGTTCAAACGTTGCCGCAGCTTACACTTCTGTCTGTTTTGATGGTACAAAACTGGTGTGTAACGCCTAAAAAATGGCTATTTACAGGTTATTCGAAACAAATAACCTAGGACCTGAAAAATCGACAAACCACGTGAATTGTTTGCTATAACATTTCCGGTTACCGTATTTTATTTTGGGCGAGTAGTGTTTTTTCATAAAGTAGCATTTACTTCCTGTTAAAATATAGATGATGCGGTAATAATCTTGATATACCCCACAGGGGGCATCTTCAACATTGAACTACTATGATTAATATGTTACGGTTGTTCAATATGAATCATATGAATGTAGATATACAGGTGGGTTAACAGATCTTCTACCATTTGAAGCAAGTTTGATAGTTTTGTGTATGATTATATAAGGTCTATAATTATGACTGTCTATAATTATGCCTCTCTACTAACGTATAATGAAAGGCCCATCATTCCCTTTCTTTGTCAGAAAAATTCTAGACATGCAAATTTCGTTTTCACTTCCTAGATTAGGCCACACCAAGTAAATTTTATGGATGACGTCCGCGCGCGCATTGATTTTGGCCTGTTCCTAGAAAAAAAAACCCAAGAAATTCCGCTTCCTGTAACTATGACCAAAGAGTCACGACAGTGCCGCAAATAGGTTTGTACGGACCAAAGCTTATGAAGCATCAAGCAAGACTTCCATTAGGAATTCAGTTTGGTTCATGCTGCCACATTTGAAGAAACTTGCTGACCGCTCCATCTATCTCCCCAAAGCACAGGACGAATAGTGCTGTTCCACCTGATTTATTGCTTTTTTGATGATGAATAAAATACTTCTTGCTTGTTACACTGTGTCACCTCATTCAATTTGTGTCCTGACATTTGTCGTCTCTTAGTATATCTCTAATCTAGGCATCTTGTTTTTTAGGGCCCTTCTTGTTTTTTTTTCGCCCTCTCGCATTAGATTTAGGGTCTCCAAAGGACGTCATCCATAAAATTTACTTGGTGTGGCCTTAGCCAGGCTTTTAGTGTATTGACTACCTTAATCTCTCTTTTGTGAAGATCACGAAACGATTCAGTTCCATGGGAGATGGTAGATCAAAACGGTGGTTAAAGGGAACACGATAAAATCACATCTTTTCTAAGGCGAGTAGAAAATTGTTGTGTCTTGTTTGAAATCATTAAAAGATATCAACACCTCTTATTGTCAAAGGGCGCATATGTATATAGTATAGCGTTTCGTAGCATTTGTATGTAGAATCTTAACATTCCTGGCAAGTAACTTAGTATACACTCTGTTTAGTAGCCATAGAACATGTTTAGTATAATTAGGTACAACTGCTCACTATACCCTTCGTGTGTATAGTTTAGCATAATGTAGAATGTACATGTAGAGTCAAAATATTCTCTAGCCAGCAGTTACTTAAAATATTCTGCCAGATACAATGTCCGTTGACCATATATATAACATTATACGTCTGAATTGACACATACCAACTAGAAATCTTATTATTTGCCATACATTGTACCCGCGACAATTGTTGTGCAATAAACTTTGACTTGACTTGACTATGAAGCGAATATCAATCAATGCCCGTAGCCAGGGGGGGGTCAAAGGTCCACTTTTTACCTGAAGTTCCAAGATTTTTCTTTAAAAGGTGCCATGGACTGATTTAATTTGTATTGCCATCGGGGTTGGAATACTAGAAAAACTGCTCACTTTGTCATTGTTATCTCTGATTTTTCCTTTGAATCTTCTCAAAAACGTCTACGTATAACGCTAACTGTAAATGTATAATCACTTTACAGGCTGATACCTCTGTAAATATATAGCCTCACAATTCAGACCTCCACGGCTGCCAGGAGGCATGTATATCTTTTGCTAAGAACAATTAAACCAGTCTACTACTACTATTACTACTACTACTACTGCTACTACTACTACTACTACTGCTGCTGCTACTGCTACTACTGCTGATACTACAAAAATGTACTACTGCTGCTGCTACTACTACTACTGCTGAGCACTACTACTGCTACTGCTGCTGCTACTGCTACTACTGCTACTGCTGCTACTGCTGCTACTACTACTGCTGCTGCTACTACTACTGCTGCTGAGCACTACTACTGCTGCTGCTGCTGCTACTGCTACTACTGCTACTGCTACTACTCCTACTCCTACTACTACTACTACTGCTGCTGCTGCTGCTGCTGCTACTGCTACTACTGCTGCTACTAATACTGCTGCTGCTACTACTACTACTGCTGCTGCTGCTGCTACTACTGCTTCTGCTGCTACTACTACTGCTGCTGAGCACTACTACTACTGCTGTTGCTGCTACTGCTACTACTGCTACTGCTGCTGTTGCTGCTACTGCTACTACTACTACTACTACTACTACTGCTGCTGCTGCTGCTGCTACTACTACCGTTACTACTACTACTACTACTACTACTACTACTGCTGCTGCTGCTGCTACTGCTACTACTACTCCTACTACTACTACCACTACTACTACTACTACTACTACTACTACTACTACTACTACTACTACATATATTCCACACTACTACAGAATACGTACCTCATGGCATTTCGCATCACTCCATTTCATTTCAACTGCAAAAACGCACTTGAAACAGTCCGATACCCTTTACGTGAAATACATTGCCTCAGACATCATAATAAGATAGGCAGACAACTATAATTACAGCATAGCCTACCAGTTATTGTACCAAACAATCAAAATTATAAGTACCGATGAATTATTGATTTGGTGAAGGCTATGAACAGCAGTTATGTGAAGAGGGGCGTACTTAGGGTACATATGCGTGTCTGGAAAACCGAGGGAGCTGAACGGTAAATCCAGAGATGCGTACAGAATTGCGCAGTGCCTACGTCATGCATACGCGTACCGAACATGGGGTCTGTAAATATCTGTGAACATATGCACATACTGCCACACATTATAGCACATTGTATCAGTATCTCATACCTTGGACATATAGGTTGTTTCAATTTAGTATGTACATAAGTGACTAGAATATTCACCCTGTCCTGTTTCTTTCCTTTCGGATCATGTCTTTCCTTATCCCACTGTCGTGACTCTATGGTCATAGTTACAAGAAGTGGACTTTCTTTCTTTTTTTTCTGGGAACAGGCCAAACTCAATGCAGGCGCGGACGTTATCCATAAAAATCACTTGGTGTGTCCTAATGTGGAGACTTATACTACTATCTATCACTACAGCCTCAGAGGACTCGGCAGCTATTTATGCATATCCTCTGCCCAGTGGGGCAAAATGCAGTTGGTGTGCCGGCGGAAACCGTAGGGCAGTGGTGACAGGAAGTAAGAAGTCTAGTTTGTGGACAGGGCCTAGGAAAAAATTTTGTGTTTCCTGTTTTATGACCGGTGCAATATATAGCTCAATTGGTAGAGTGCTCTCTTTGTAACCGGGAGGTCGTGAGTTCAAACCCCGACCGGGTCATACCAGAGACTTTAAAAATGGTACACACTTCTTTCTCTGCTTAGCACTTGGCACATATGAGAAAGAGTGTGGGAAGGTCAAACACACAGCACTACCAGTGGACTAGCCCCCTGCTGTAGTGCATTGCACAACTGAGGCTGTGTGTCGCCAAAGGGCTACGGAAATGTATATGGGCACCACCCCTATGCTCTGCAATGGAGTGAAACGGGACCCTTTCTTTCCTGTTTCCCGAACGACCCTAAAAAAACTGCAACCAACCCCAGCCTTTTTTTTTTCGTGTGTGGACCTCTGCAAGGGACATTTTTTTCGAGCTGATCGACCTTCTCTGGCTCCATGATCTGATAACATGAGTGATGAAACGTTGTTTAATCGGTTTTCCAACATTGACATTGAAAATATAAGTGTCCTCATGCAATTTTTAAGTTTGTTGAACTGTATTGTTTAAATTTGATCACCAGAGATTGCCAAAGTCTTTTAAAAAATTATCATTCCTACCTACCAACCCTACTTTTGTTCCGGAACGAAACATGTACAGAAAACACAGCATATTTTACCTAGGCCTAAATCTAACGAACCAGAGGCTTGCGTCTGGGACTATCTCTTAAAAAAACCAATTAAATCCCCACGCATGAGCACCCCGGCACCTGGTAAAGAATACCCGTACTTTATGTGGGGCCAGGCTGATTCATTGTTGTGCCTATCGTCAATTTGGCATCGAGATTTTGATTGAAGAAAAAACATTGAACATGATGCAAAAACTACCGTCATTAAGTTCTTTGTTTCTTTTCAAGTCATTATTGTTACTTTCTAGTTGTTTTGTTGTTCTGAATTATGTATCTATTCATTTACCATCTATCTATTTATCTAGCTAGCTATCTATCTATGAGAGTGATAGACAGTATTGCTTTCGCTCAATCCTTAGAAAATAAACAACCAACAAATGCACAAAAAGCGTCCTGCAGTACCATTGGAAAAATCCAGATGGACCATTTTTGAACGTGACCTACTTTTTCACAATACCTACCCACATACCAATTATCCAAGATCCATACATGACCTATTTAGTCATTAGTAGGACCTACATACAGGCCCACACCAAAGCTGATCCCCCAAGCCCAAACAGAGAGCATAGTCTTCTACCGAAGGCAATGAAATAGAATAATAAATGTATAAACTCACCTAATATATTCAAGTTGATGTTTGCTTCCTGTGGTCCGGATTGTACCAGTGTAGCCTCGATGACGTACAAACCGGCGTCTCCCCTCTGTGACTTGTCAATCTTCAGAGACAAGCCCACAAGCTCCGCCCGCCCCTCCAGGGGCCCCAGCGATGCCCGGTAGTCCTCGGCGGGAATGTAGGAGTAGACCATGACTCTTTGCGCGCCCTCCACCTTCCTCCAGACGAGGCTGAGGATTCTCTCGTCGTTAGCCACGGTGACGGGCAGGGTGACCTCCTCCCCTACGACAGCATTCACCTCGCTGTTCACAAACAACGGGTCACATTGTCCTGCAATTGCAAGATAGCCAAAAAAACAAAATCAATCTCACAATAGAGCTAAAATTCTCTCTGTAGACAACTACCTACATTAGATAAATGATGAAAATATGGTGTTCCTTTCTGGACTTATCCGCTTTAAAAGATTCCCCTGCAGTTCCAGAAAAATCCGCTAGGGAGACAAAACCCATGCCACTTATTCCTGACAGGAAAAGCTATCTGTTCCCCCCAAAATCAAAACCATAGCATGTTCAGGACAAAAGATAAAAAAGAAAGTTCTGCTGCAGTACCAAGGTCAGCAACCAGGACGTCCATATTTTACCTTGACATTTGTCTTCCTACAACTTACCAACATACCAAATATCATCACAATCCAAAATGGAGTTCTGAAGTTATACTGACTACAAATGTGCGGAAACACACACACAGAGACCAATAACTACCCCCATTTTTATGGAGGTAACTAATACTACGTACGTTAGAAAAATATCCAGTAGTTTACCACCATGACTACCTCAATGAAAGGTTGAACGGTCCCTGGCTATCCTGGGAACGAGATTTTTCAGAGGACATTTTTACATGAAAGAAAAAGAAAATGAAACGATTTCTTTCAAATCTGCATTTCTATTGTCATTACTGACATAAAAATATCCAGAGGTTTACCACCATGACTGATTCAATGAAAATGTTGAACGGTCACTGACTATCATGGGAACGAGATTTTTCAGACGACAATTTTACATGAAAGAAGAAGAAAATGAAACGATTTCTTTCAAATTATTTCTGTTGTCGTTACTGACAGAAAAAAATATCCTATAGTTTACCATCATGACTGTTTTGAGTCACTGAAAAGGTTAAACGGTCCATGACTATCCTGGGAGCGAGATTTTTCAGACGACATTTTTACATGAAAGCAAATTTCTTTTGTCTCGAGGCCAGGGACACCAATACTCGACATAAGTCAAGTAAGTCAAGTCTTTCAAATCATTTCTGTTGTCGTTACTGACAGAAAAATATCCTGTTTTGAGTCACTGGAAATGTTGAACGGTCCCTGAATTCTCTGTTCCGCTGCATACTTTAGTGTTGATCGGTTGATAGCAGCTATCTACGCGGCTGTCGGGGCAAGCAAGGGGCGGTGACGCGCGTATTCCGTCGTCGCTCCGGAGCCACTGATTCAATCTAGAACCCTCCAAATTAAGTGAGATTTCAGCCCCAGCCCGTATCTTCTCATATAAGTGGGCTGGAGATCGTCAGTATGTTAAACATTAATTCCCACAGCCTTCCCAACTGCCCTCTTTGGGGCGAAGGTTAATTACAGTACGACTGTTACCCAGATTTTCCCTCGTTTCCCCTTGTATGAAAAGAAAGCAATCCCGCCTGTACACTCTATATACGCAAGCCAGCGGCTTTCATATACAGGCTTTCAAATCATACAGGGTACGTGCGCTTCACTTAACATGTATGCGGCCAGCTACGGTGGATATGCGAATGTAAATGAGATGTATTTTCTATTAATACAGAGTGGTTCTGAATGGTAACGACGTTGTATGGTCAACATTAACGTTTCCGGTGGGATATTTGGCCTAGTTACTGGTCTCAGATCAAATAGACGTTATTGAGCATTATTCTTATTACCATATTTCAGAGATTGTAAAGGGTGGATTCTTTGTGCATGTGCATCGAATCTTGAAAAACCACGTATCCTATGTAATACATGTAAACTGTACCCACCCTCACCCAATAACAGTCAGCTTTACAGTACAAGTTCGATCCTTACGTTAACCCTTTCTTTCACCGGTCAGTTTTCTGTGAACCGTATAAATTTTAATGAAGCCGAGGGTTTTCTCGGAAGCGCTCTCATAACAAATAGATTATACTATGGTCTTTGGAGAAGGACTGTCATTAATATTGATATATCCACGGCATATTAGTTATGAGAAAGTTTTAACCTTGACTTACGTTAGTGAATTGAACGTGATTGTGTAGAGGTCTAGATGGGTGATAGCTTACATAACGCTTGTACATGCACATTCGGACCTGTAAAAATACATGCGTCACTGGAAAAATGATGGCTGACGCCACATGTACTTCTAGTTTACATGCACGCAGGATATACAGGTTGTTCGCAGTAGACTTTTATGGCTAGGGAAGATCATCTTACGTACCTCTATGTACAGCCAAAATGGCCAACAGCGACGTCAATGCATTTAGATGCAGCCCGTCCATTGATGGGAAATACTCCTTCGCCGCTTACTCCGGAAGGTGGGCGAGGCTTCCTCGGTAGGGCATGGGGGTGGCCACCGTAGGCTGCAGACGGTTAGCCCGGTGAGACTCCCACTAGGACACGGTAACGTCCAATCTGGTACAACACACCGCCGTCATCCTCTAGAAGCCGCTGAGACAGGGTGGGGTCCGGGCCTCACTGCGCATGCACCGCATGAAGAGCAGGCCGTATCATCATAAGTGGGTATAAATTGAGATGTGCTGCAGGCCGGGCGCTGATGCCATCGTTTGGCCGAGGCAATTAAATTGTCGCGCGTTACAATGTTTACCCGTGTGTAGACAATATTCAAACCCCACTCAAATCCCGTTATCAAAACCCAATAGTCTGCGTACACTACCTCTACTGCAGCCTTATAAACCAGCTAATATTGGGTGTGTTCTGGCTTCCATCGGCCATGTTTTTGACAGAAGAAAAAAAAAAGAATTATCTTAGGCGCTAAAATCGTGAGGTGTAAACGACACACACGCAGCTTAACCGGCTGGTGACGTCATCAGCGCCATTACTGGGCGTGAGCGCCGGTCCTGTGCGTACGTAACGACGCCGTGGCGTAGGGTGACGCTCTGGGAAGCGTACCATAGCGTCTCAGTGCGTCACTCGACCACGCCCCAACCCTAAAAACGTGACTCTCTCGCCGCCGCCGCACGTTGAACAGATTCGAATCTGGGATTTTGCGGAGAATAATCCTCTCAACTCAAACCTTCCACTTCATCTGGATCTATATATACCGTAATAGGGAGAATTATCCAAAGCTAGGGGCGGTACATTATTGCTTGGGGTGGGTAGGCTTCTACATACCAGGTAATGCCGACATGGTAGCGCCGTTGAATAGAATAGACAGACAGTGTCATTGATATGCAATGCTTTTCATTTATACCAGAACGGCATAAAATGACCGGAAAATTTATTCTAAAACGTTTAAATCCTTACAAATAGATTACGTAATAAACAGGCTAGTGTTCCGTACCTTAATGTTTATATAACTGGACTTTAAACCAACAATTCAAGACATATTCCACAGCCATAGAATAGCCAAACATTATAGACTGTGTCATTGATATGCAATATCAAAACGGCATTAAATGGCCGGCAAATTTATTCCAAAGTGTTTGCATCCTTGCTAATATATTAGTTAATAAACAGAACAGTATTCCGTACCTTACGTTTATGTAACTATAGTTGATAAGCTTTAAACCAACGATTTAAGACATTTTTCCACAGACATACCTATAAGCAAGGAAAATTAATTCCTGGTCATTTGTAGAACAACGTTCGCATTTACATTGCAACAAGCGCCGATGACATATTTGTGCGGCTGATTTAGATACCAGGAGATTACATGTGTGCATATGTATTAACGTAAATTATTGTAGCCGGGACTGCAAAGTCCCAATGGAAAACCATACCACTAGCCATGTCCAACTCAACATTACCTTAGGCCATAGCAAGTAAATTTTATGGATGACATCTTCTGCAGACTCAAAATCTAATGCGATAAGGCAAAAAAAAAAACAAGGTGGGCGAAAAAAAAAGACCCCTACATTCTCAAATTTTGACATCATAAACCTTGTGAAACAAGAAATGATCCCTATACTGTGCTAAGTTTACTGCCAACTATTACAACATCCATTTATCACTGAGAAATAAAAGTTTTCAATCACTGTACAAAAAATTTAATGGTTTTTATTTACATATAAAAGGGAGGAAATGCATCACTGCAAGTAACAGGCAAAACAATAAATCAGAGCCTTGTCTTCTATCCTCTCTTCATATTTATCTACCATCCACGTTCCGGCATGGTAACAGACATCTTTGCCCATTTTCGGTATGTTGACCAATGTCAGGGGGCAACATTTTTTTTTCAGAATCAGGCCATGTTGATTTGATTATATGGATGACATTCGCGCGCGCATGAATTTTCGGCCGTTTCAAAAAAAAAAAGGTTTCAACCATACTGTAAATCGTACAAAACAGTTGCAAAATGAGCAAAAATATACCATAAGTTACAAAAAAAAATCAATAAAAACTATACCAATGTCGTAGAATGCCAAAATGAAACGAAAAAAGACGAAATTGTAAAGAAATGAACTTAAAGACTAGATTATTCGCCAAACCATATTCTGTGCCATTTGCTCAACCCTCATGACCACGTAGATTTCATAATGAAACCACCTTTTTTTTGCAAAACTTTTTTTTTATTCGCACGCGCGCATCAGTTTTGGGGCTCCCGGAGGATGTCATCCATATAATCAAATCAACATGGCCTCAGGTGAAATCTAATACGCGCGCTGATGTCATCCATAAAATTACTTGCTGTGGCCTTACGACGTACGAACATGTAAACATGCATATATAACGTTACGTCCTGCTAGTATATAGAATTTCCAGTCACGAATTTCTTCATCACGCAACCCAAGATTATTCAATCAACATCACATGTGCTAAGCGTTCGCATTACTTGTGTCAACAAGTGAAGAAACAAGCTACGCTTTTATATTCATCTTTTTAGCAACCAATTATTAAGATTTGTTGAAATTAAGCTCGAAAATTTACTATAACACGGTCGGCAAATATTTGTGATATGGTTGGTGTAGTTGCCAACCATAATTAGATGTTAATTTGAATGCATTCCGTACAAAGAATATGAGACGGCAAAGACAAGTTATATTTTAGACACATTTTTCTACACTGCATCTTGGAGTACACTCACAATCACAAATACGGTAGTAATTCAAAGGCAGCAAGTGCAGCGTTTAGGGCTTGGAAACCCGTTTTTTCCAAGTCGATATTCCAGTCATTTACCTACATACTGAGTTGAAACCACAACATCCCAATATATATTGACCCTCATGAAGCAAAAATACCAAAATTCTGATGGAAAATATGGTTACTGGAAGGGCCCTGGGCTGATATTTAGGGTACCACCCAGAAAATAAAGGACTAATCTTCGAGCTTGTTTGTGTAGTAGTTTCAAATACCCAAAGTATGAAATACTGATTGAAATGTGCTAATGTGGGACAGTATGTGTCAATATCATACAGACTGCCTTATTACCTTCGCCAAGAAGGTTATGTTTTCAGGGGCGTTCGTGTATGTGTGTGTGTGTGTGTGTGTCTGTCTGTCTGTCTGTCAACACGATAACTTAAGAAGGCCTTGATGGATTGTCTTGATACTTGGTAGGTGGGTAGATCTTGATGAGACCTCAAAGTGATTAGATTTTGGACCCCCTAGCGGCTTGTTATGGTACTGCAGCTGAACTTCCGGTTTTGATATCTCATGATCTAGACATGCTATGGTGATGAAATTTAGATGGTAGGTAGCTCTTGTGCTGGGGAAGAAGTGACATGAGTTTAGGCCCCCTAGCGGCTTGCTCTGGAACTGCAGGGATAAATTCTTGAAAATATTCAAAAGGGGATAACTCATGAACCGGTTGACGGATCGTCGTGATTTTTGGTATGTAGGTAGCTTACGTGATGCTTAATATAATTATGTGACAATTATGCAAATATTGATGTAATTTGCATAATTTATGGAGAAATTCTATAAATCAGCTGCATTCAATAATAGGACAATTAAAGCTTGTGACATTGGTAATTGACAACGAGAGAAACACAGGAAGATATTGATTATGTTAATAATGACTTAATTTGCATAATTAATGAGAAAATTTTATAATTATGTAATGATAACTGCCTGGAATTTCATACTTGTGGTATTTGAAAGTTAAATTGAGGTGAACATCATTAAACATAATTTATTCAAATCAGGACCTCATTTGCATAATTTATTAGGAAATGCTAGAATGCATTGTTTGTTAATATAAGACTGTTTTTTGGTTGAGATTATTATAAAATGATATAATTCATGAAAATTAGGTTCCTATTTCTTAAATCAGGGGGGAATAATCTAATCTATAATTTGTCAGTCATAAAGATTAACATCATTTGGCGAAGGTATGAGATCGGGGGACTCTAGTTCAGAATATTTTCAGTTTTGCTGCTCTGAAATCGCATCAGATGCCTTTAAATAGAAACCTTTGATTGGTGTGTGCTTGATACCATGCTTCTATTCTTGTTTTTCTTCTTTCTTTTTATAGGCAACATCTACAAGTGGTAGATGCATTATTCATTGGGGTATGTCAGAGTGGAAGATTAACTCGATTAACTTGCGCTCTCTTTTGAGTTAAAGTGCGGAAGCCACGAGGATAGAAAAGGGGAAAACATAAGGTCATCTCTGATGTCAATACACTCAGTATAGGCTAATTCTTTTGTGGTTCAGAAATGGGAAATGGTTTACCATATCGAAGACAGCTAAAATGCAAGAGAAGTATATGCAAATTGTATTTATATGATTTTGATTTAACCGGTCTTAATAGAGGAAGATCTTATCACAAACGAAAATTAATCATGAAAACCATTTGCATATATTCTTGGAATAAAATGTTCTTTTTCGCTGTAGGAAACAGCCCGACCGGGCCCCGGTTTAGAAATGTGACCTTATAGCATAACACATCGTATCACACGGCCGATTTGTTGTTTTAGCCGTTGTGGGATAATACAGCTACAAGTAAGTGATATTAGGCATTAGCCTAGTTTTCATGGATAGGAACATCTACTATACAATTACTGGATATTGGACGTTTGATAAACACTTGTGTGTTTATGTGTTTGTGTAAAATGATAGATTAAGGTCATTGCAGTTGTTAGAAGGCCCCTTTCCACTCCTTGCGGAGCATAGGGGTGGTGTCCATCTCCATTTCTGTAGCCCTTGGGCCACACAGTTGTGCAAGCACTACAGCAGGGGGCTAGTCCGCTGGTAGTGTACCATTGCACCGGTTCTTTTTGCAGTTGTTGGGAAATTTAATTTTTTTCAACGATCTTTGTCAAATGACCAGGTATATATTATAAGGAACTATTTCTCTAATTCTCCTATTTGTAGTTGAAATATGTTTTTACTTGCAGTTTAGATTGACAGTTTAGATTTACAAGTACTGGATGTCTACTTATAACTCCAGACAATCGGAAGGGCACGGTTTTGTCGCTGTCGATATAATGTTGTACAAAACTGCATTATGTGACATTAGGATGTAAGGCCACACCAAGTAAATTTTATGGATGACGTCCGCGCGCGCATTGATTTTGGCCTGTTCCTAGAAAAAAAAAACAAGAAATTCCGCTTCCTGTAACTATGACCAGAGTCACGACAGTGCCGCAAATCGTCAGATTGACGTGAAACCCGAGACGCCGAAAGCCTGTGCCTGGTTAAAAAAAAAATGAAAAAAAAATGAAAAAAACAAACAAAATTGCACGGAAAAAAAATCCTGTCAATAGTTCCAAAACAGTGCCGTTTTTGGAACTATTAACAGACAGGACGATCCTGTCAGCAGTGCAATATTTCTTATCTAGGCATCTTGTTTTTTTAGGGCCCTTCTTGTTTTTTTTCGCCCTCTCGCATTAGATTTAGGGTCTCCAAAGGACGTCATCCATAAAAACCTACAAGTCAGATAGACTGTGGTACTTGAATACCGTAATGCATTTCATAGCTAACCATTTTGAGAGCTACTAACAAAAAAAATATGATTCCTGTGCCAAGTTTAAGGCAGATGTTCTGCAGTTTTAATCAAAATCGAGCAAAGATGACAAACAAAGTCAAATGTGTAACCTGCTGTGTTAAGATACGCCCAGGTAACAACATGTTCTTACGATATACAGCGGGACCAGTAACTTGCCTATCATCTGCGACACCTGGCGATCAAAGCAGGAAATACAGGTGCCAAACATGGCGCCGACGGCTTTTGCCAAATGGGACGGCGATATTTTATTTTAGGCCATGTTGATTTGATTATATGGATGACATCCGCGCGCGCATGAATTTTCGGCCGTTTCCAAAAAAAAAAGTTTTCAACCATACTGTAAATCGTACAACACAGTTGCAAAATGAGCAAAAATATACCATAAGTTACAAAAAAAATTAATAAAAAATATACCAATGTCGTAGAATGCCAAAATCAAACGAAAAAAGACGAAATTGTAAAGAAATGAACTTGAAGACTAGATTATTCGCCAAACCATATTCTGTGCCATTTGCTCAACCCTCATGACCACGTAGATTTCATAATGAAAAGAACTTTTTTTTGCAAAACTTTTTTTTATTCGCACGCGCGCATCAGTTTTGGGGCTCCCGGAGGATGTCATCCATATAATCAAATCAACATGGCCTTACTGTGCTACAGTGCTGGCGATCGATACGTGGCAAACCCTTTATGTATCAGATTATTTATTTCCTGATTCCTTTATCTTTATATAGTCTTATTATTAGACGCCCAAAGTACGGAATGACTGAAACTTACTGCGATATTCAGCATTCCACCATCAGACATTTTTTTTACACAATCACCTGTTGACGATGTACAACATCAAAAAAAATATCGACGTTCCAGCTCAGTAGTCCATTTTTACAAGGTTGAGTTCTCATACGACGCCTGGCCAATTCTTTACAACCATCATTCAAATAAAGAATATATAGAGTAACCAAAAAAGGGTAATTTCTGAACGGCAGTACTGGCCTATGCTGGTAGGTGGCGCTTCCCCGTAGTCAATATGCTGAGTCATATCTTGGGACTTTATAGCCACTAATGTACCAAAGTGTGAAGACTACAGTTGGCGCTATTTTCGAGGGTCCAGCCTTGGGCACAGGACCTTATCCGCTGCCTCCATTTCATGGATGGCCATCAACAACTTTCTTCTTCTTCGTCGTCGTATTTTCAGTAATTTTGCAAATTCGAAGTTGCCTGTGTTCAAGCGAGGTGGATATTCCGCCATTTTGAATATTCCGCCATCTTGAATATTCCGCCATCTTGAATATTCCGCCATCTTGAATAATCAGCACTTAGAGATGCCAGTACGGCGGGGAGACTCGTACTCGTACTCCCGGGCCCGGGCACCGTTCACGTGTGTTTGATCGGCCGACCCTGCGGGTATTCTCTCCTTTGGGCAACGTGGCAAGCTGCGGTAGTACTCCTGTAAAGGGAGAGAGATTTTGTAGAACAGAGCAAATGCAGTTTACGATCGAAAATATCGACGATGTAAGTTGTTCTATGTATATTTCTTGGCGCTCATACTAAAGGCACGACACTGTTTTATTCTAGAACTAGAAAGGTATCATTTGCATAGCAAATGCAAAATGTTTACCTTCGCGTATGCTCTGCTCTGTTAATTTTTATTCAAACACATTCATATACATGTATATGGTGGCAGGAGTCTAAATTCCTCCCGCTATGAAATTGCAACATGATGTAATCCAACACTAATAACCATGGTGACAGACGTCTGATTCAGGCCATTGACCTTATTGGTTTGGAGAAGAATAACAAGAAGATGATGAAGAAGAAGAAGAAACAGAGCAAAAACGATATGTTTTCCTTCGGTACACAGATTAATGAATGCCTACAGATCTAGAAAATTCTGTCATGGTTCGTCGTCCAAATTGTGAAAAACGTGTACAACATTGCTGATATATATTCACTGTACACCAGAGACGCCTATCGGAAATGATGAGAACTGCAAGGTACCTTCATTGCTCTGTCTTGCAGAGATGCTCTTATGTCAGTGTTTCGCCCGGTTATTCCGTTATCTGGAACCCCAAGTCTAAGAGCTGGGCGGCATAGAAACAAACAAGCATATCTAAGACAACATTGCCACTAGCTTAAAAGTTTGTACGTTGAAAGATGATTTAAAAGTCAATGTATGGCAAAAGATAACCACTGGAGCTGTCAATGCGGTGCTTCTGCTCAAAAGTCTATAATATACGACTAGTCGACGAGATACGGTACGTCCATTGCTACATGCATAAAATAAAATATGATATAATAAAATATAATAAGATATAATAAAATGCAATAGAATGTAATAGAATGTAATAGAATGTAATAGAATATAATAGAATATAATAGAATATAATAGAATATAATAGAATATAATGAAATATAATAAAATATAATGAAATATAATGAAATATAATGAAATATAATAAAATATAATAAAATATAATAAAATATAATAAAATATAATAAAATATAATAAAATATAATAAAATATAATAAAATATAATAAAATATAATAAAATATAATAAAATATAATAAAATATAATAAAATATAAT